ATTCGAAGCCAAGGCTGAAGTTAGCTTCTTCATACCTCTGCGTCATATCAAGATCTGACCGCAGCGGCCCTTCTTCCACACTGACCCGGCAGGTAGCAAAAGAGCACAGAAAGGCAGACGATGGACGAGCATACACAAAACGTGACCAAACCATCGTGGGCGGTGTAGAGCGTTCGCTTATTTTTGAGAACCACTATCCACACCCAACGCACGAATGCAAACCTCGTCATTGTCCACCCGATGTTCCCATCAGATACGAGTAATGCTACAGAGACATCGGTGGTTCGATTGCCACACACAACGAAGAGGGTCCAGGGCTCGCAACCGTAAAAAAGAGCGCTACGAACTGCGACGAACAACACCCTTCCCTCAAGGGCAAGCCGGATCTCATTGAGGCCCCACTGTTATCGCAGTTTGGCAAAAGCTGCTCTGGCTTTTGCTACTCGTGATGTGATCAGCTAAGGTCACAGAACTTATGACCTGAGTCAATATCTGCAGTAGAAGGGTGCAGGTGAGATTCTTCCCGTTCGCTGCTATTTTCCCTTCCCCATCTTTATTTCATCTTTAACAATACCTCCAGCTGCGATAAAGCTCCCGAGGTACTTAAAACTCTCGACTACTTCTCTCTTATCACCGGGAAAGAAAAGTGCAGACAAAGGATCCTGTCAGTCTTGTGTAAGCACTTTGAAGGTGCAAAGCACATGCCATATCTGGATAAATCGTTCGCCATGTGGAGTAAAGCGTGTAGGTCCTCCTGTGCATTGCAACCGAACAAGGCGATGTCATCGACATGTTTGAAGTCAAGAACTATATTATTTGGGAGAAGTTGAACTCTACCGTTTGCTAGACTGCACAAAGCGTCCTGTAGAACATTCTCTATAGCGGAATTGGAGAGGAATGATGATAGAGGGCAGCAGTGTCGAACTCCACTAGAGACGATAAAGGATGGCGAAGGCTGACCGCAGTTCCTAACCCAACCTTCCATCTTTGATGTGCGTCCTGCATATAAGATTTCGCGATTTCTGCGTGGGCTTGCTTTGAGGTTACGTCCCATTTCGAGTAGTATTTTTTTAAGATCACCGATGATCGGAATTTATCGGCGTACTGAAGAAGGCGTAGAGACTCCATATAAATTCAGGGTGTCGCGGCAGAACGTGTCAGACCAAAACTAACCAAGCCAACAGAATGCAGAGCGTTCTTGATAAGTGACCAGTGCTGGTTAACGTCATCGTGTGGGGTTGGTCCTAGCTTTTTAGCTGACGTGTTTTGAAAGTCAGTTGGTTTGGACAGCTTATCACAGTTGCGTCTTCGGTTTAGAATGTCCATCGAAGCACATGGGCAGCGTTGTGCAAAAAATGCATGGTCGTATTTAAGGTGAGTGCTCCAGTTCGATCTGCAGTCCTGTATGCAGCCCAGCTACTTGTGAGTTATGGTGATGTGTTCGATCTGAGTTCGTCGCTGATTCGAGGAGGGCGGACGCCAAGAGGCTTACCAGTAGCTGGAACGTCTTAAATTCGTGATGTCGAGGAATGAGCGGTGGTCGTAACACAGAGCCAAAAGCCGTTTCCCGTTTTCCGAGTGACAGGAATTTAGTCTAGAGGGACCTCAGAGATAAGCTTCACTCGAAGACCGCCGGTCTACTCTAGCATTCACATCTCCCGATAAAATCACGAAATCAGTGTGGTTCACTTTACACAAGAGGTTGTGTAGATTAAAGAAAAGCTTCTTTGACGGCATCTGAGTTACAGTCCGTTGGAGCGGATGTCAACGCGCCAAATAAGTTTCATCTATCTGGGCGCCTGGTAACTTACTTTGCATGAACCTCTGAGTCTCGCTGCGTACAACCTACTGTCGACTGAAATTCTTTCTAGAAAGGCGGCTTCAGTTCTACCACTGAGGGCCATTCCAACGCCAGCAAGATACAAAGCCGCTGTCTCAGATTACCCAGAGAAATTTCGCAGATTGGTTTGACGGGGATATCAATTGGATAATGCAGCTGGAGTCTTAAATGTGCGTATCTTAGATACAACGTACATCGATGGCTAGGGTCTCGAGTGTACGAACTAAACACGCCTGTTATCCTATACTCATCAGAGTGCGGACATTCAATGTGGCCAGTTAAGATGGACATGAAGGACGAAAAAGGGCTTTAGCTGGTGGAAGATTCGGTGAGACTTGAACAATAGACAAAGTAGGACATTAGAGGACAGCGGCAGAGGCACTACTGTGAGTACGATCGTTTGAAGAATCTGAGAAAGGTGTAGGTGTGTTAGGGGTTGAAGGCGAGGTGTGGGAGGGCTGGGGAAACATGAGTGTATGAACGGTGCTGAGTGAAGCAACTTTAATATGGAGAGGCGTAAGATTCGAGAAATCCATCATTGTATTTACAGTGGGTTGTTGTAATACAGATTGGGCCTTGTTCGAGGGTGCACTCTAGCTTTTGCGCAACCAAGAGTGAACTGCAAGGTAGCAGTAATATTTCAGCTGAGCCGGTGGCCAGTCTTCGGTTCATTCGCCTCTTCTGGAAAACCTTGTCGAGCAACAGATTTCGATAAGGAGCAATGGTCACCCTCGCCACGTCACAGCACTCTCCACAGATATTTATCATGTACGGAGAACCCTTGCCAGGAGGTAAACCCACCACATCCTCGGGCGCTGCCGCAGCAACTGCTTATTCGAGGAGTCTAAGCCCCTCTTATTCACAGTTAACCGTGAGATGACGGCCGTTCCCCTATTCCCGACCTGGAAACGCACTCGGTAGCATACAACTGTGCTCTCTCGATAACTGTTTTACAGATAGAGAAAACACCATTAGACTTTGGAATCTTTCATACAAATCCGTAGTTAACATATTCGGAGTTCTTCAGTGGGCTACACTGTCACCATACTTATTTTCCATTTACATTTTTGATACTCTTTGGGTTCCTTCTGCAAGTGTTTTGCAAATGTAGAGTTAATGCTATGCTGTACCAACCATTTATTGTTCCTCAGATCTAAGTTTTTTTTCCACGATAATCTTTACCGAATTCAGTTTTTCTCCTCCCGATCGGGGTTAAACTTAAACACCAGCAGATGTGTGGAATATTTGTATAGTATTCCGTGCTCCTCATTCCCGACAGATCCTACAGTTAGATATAACAATTCTCTATCCACGGTAAAATTTGTCATATATCTTTTTATGACTATAGATTCGTAAATTGTAGCGTCTTTCATTTCAAATTCAAAATCTCCTACAAGTTCGCATTTCCCACTCATTTATTTCTCCCTCTGTATATCAGTGTGTTTCCCCGTCTTACTCTGTTGTTTTCCAGTTATTTCCTTTCACTTACCTAAACAAGATTTCAAAGTTTTACACCACGACCCAAGAGGTTATTGGCCGCGTTTCTACAATTTCATGGAACGAGTTGATAGTAAAAATTTCAGATTATCGTAGAACGTCTTGTGTCAACTTTGTGGACAGGATTCTTGCAGACTCATCCACCGCACACAGAACTGAAATGATATCATTCTCCTCTCTCCACATGCTCCGAATTCTGAAAAATATCATCTCGCATAAACGCTTACCGAAAGTCATTAGTGCACCATTTTGCACGTTTGCTCATAAACAACAAGGGAGGGTTACAATTAATCTTCTTCTTAACTTTGGACTATGAAATGCCTTTATGCTGTCTGGGAACAATTTTTCCGTGCGAGTGTGCTCCGCGTTACGGTTGAAATGTATAGTATTTTTCAATTGAAATGCAACCTTCAGTGTTTGCAAAGTAACACAGTACAATGCACCCAGTAAAGAGTTTTCCTGTTCAAACTTGATATCTACTCCAAAATCCGTTCACTTGTGCTGTTTATTTCTCACGATTGATTCACTCCTTGCAATGTGATATAAATTTAAATTTCTCTTTCCGTCCAGTGCAACCATTTTGTTCAAGCGGTTGTGCCTTCACTCAGTCTTGCAGTGTCAGATCCGATCGCTGGCAATTCCATACATCACAATTTAGGTTTGGTCCCACCAGAAGATACTCTGTAGATTTTCGCCGTGCTTATCGTCCGTTCTTCATTTTTGTCTGTATCAACTACAGATCGACTAACGAAGTCCAGACAGGCCATATTCATTACGAATTGGGTCATATTTCTCCATTTCGGATCATGGTAAAAGCGAACGATCAAATTCGCAGGAAACTCTTCCAACACTAACTACTTCTGTTCTTTCCGCCCAGCCCTCTGGTCGATCAAATTGCTACAGATTTCCAACCGTTACATTTTAACATTCTTATGTCCCGTATTCAGTACATATGCAAGGCAATAAGCACCATATTGAAAGAGATTTTCTGGATTGAGGATCTCTTGTATATGTATTCATGCATTTGTGTTAAACAATAAAACTATGCGCTTCTTGGAACTGTTACCTTGAAATGTTGTTGAAAAATACATTGTTTACTCTGATTAGAAACATAAAAAAATGAATGTGAAACCCACACATAAATTCATGATGTCTTTTGCCTCGTAAATCAATCGCAATCGGGAGTACTTCACAAAATCTAAGCTGAAAACAAGAGCAATTCAAACATAGATAGGAGTGAAACATAGCATAATTTGGACCGTTAAGTTTCCGTGTTGAGATGAAACAAATGAACGGTGGCTTGAAGGATTTCCAATGGTAAGTGGCATGGCGAACCCACAATTTCATCAAACAACTGAAACTTCTCCAGCTACTTCATTTTAATTACCATGTTACAGCCTCACAAATAAGTGTGCCAATAATAGCAGATGAATTATATCAACTATTGATTTTCTTCCAGGTTGTTAATTTATTCAAAACCGTAATCACAAAAGAAACATTTTATCTCAGCCCTAAATCAATGCGCTTGCTAAATGATGAATTCTATTCGTTTGCTAATCCAGCATAAACCTATTAAAATGGCATGAGTGAATGAACGAACTACTAGCCACGTCTACTGACAGGCCGCCAAGGGAACAACGTATGATCACGAATGTCAGCTTACCCGAGATTCCGTGTTTACCGGCGTATCCACTCTTCGCTTCAATATTTCCTCTTTGATCTTTTCCCGTTGTTCCATTCGTATGCGATGCCTGTCGGACTGTGCGTGACTAATAGAAGTCAGTGTGGAATCGACAAACTGTGGAGATACAGAGAGTGTGTGGAAACAGAAAAAAACGAAGTACCTGACAGTACATGCAACACGTTTGAATAGAATTTAATTAAAATAAGAACTATCAGTCCATACTACTGCAGAATTAAACCGAGACTTTCAAACTGGACTGTATGGGACTTAATTCACTTATGTGATGTAGTATCCCGCATTATAAGAATTTTAAAACGCTGGGTCACCTTTGACGCAGAAGGTCCATGTCGCGAGATAATAACATGGTTTTTAACCTTCAACCACAAAATAGGTCGCTACGTTCTTGGTACATGGTATTGGTTAACTCTAATGGACGGAAATGAACAGTAAAATGAAGACTACTAAACTCTGAGACCGCGTTATCAACTTTCGCAAAATACTGTGGAATGTGTTCACCTTTTCGCTGATAAGTTTATCCGCATGTGTATGCGTCACCACAACTACAGGTATTCTGATACATAGTGTTTTCTACCAGTTCTGTGTTCATGCAACTTAAATACATAAGTAGACGCCAAAGGTCTATTTTGAGCAGCAGGAACATGGTCGCCTTTGAAAGCCACCCTGAGGATACACATTTTTTCGGGGGATTACTAGGAGATCGACTATCCTTCGCATAGATTGCACATATGCGTTATGTTATATCGGGTGTGGAAAAATTGAAACGGTTTATTCACCTATATGGTGATCAGATGGATGTTACGATTGAATTCTGTTCCTGTTGGAGTTGTAATACTGATGGAAACCCTAAACATTTCAAAGCACCGTACAGTGGCTTCCAGTTTTACAGTTCACATTTTATTTTGTCCGTGTGTGTGTGACGAAGTTCACTATGTAGTCCTTTAGAGATAGAAGGGGCTGCCATGCTATGTGTAGTTTGTTTCGGCATTACAAACAACTTAAAATCACTCTTGTTGGAAGCATGGTCATATTTCTGCGTGGTGATCGTACAATGAGTACTACGGTGCAGCTTCCAGGTAGGCAATCAGGAAACGGATCTCCCGACCAGTCCCGTGGTCTCAATGAATGCAATGAATGCAAGAAGGCAAACAAATGAACCATATTGTTGTCGCTTGGACATTGAAGAATCACCCACTGATTGTTTGATGCTTGTGATATTTATTTGCATGATTTTCCGAATAGAATTTACTGTATCCACAGCTTGTCTTGGTTCTACCTGACTGCGCTATTCAGTGGATTTTACGTCCGAATCCGAGTTCGCGTATTTAATTCCGATTTATTTTCCGAATACTAAATTCTACCACCTTCGAAGTATCTCACGGATGAAGTCTCTGCATATTTTATTGAGAATATCTACTGAAAATTTGGCACAAACCGCGATATAAAAAACAGGTCACACGGAGATAAAACTCTGAACAGCAATTATAAGGGAATTAGCTAAGTTAATTTGAAACGACCGAGTCTATGCATCAAATCGGATTTTTTACTCAACTAATTTTGCATTTTGCTCATGAGGCTGAAAGCGTTTCTTTACGTTCACTTTGGATTTCTTTTTGTCTTGAACCGTGATTAGAACAGGCGAATTTCCTTCTTTTTCATTCTCTAGGCATTACGCAATCGGTGATCCACGTTAGTTCGTGTCCTGTTCGAATCTTCCTAAATGACAACCTGCATTTTTATCACATAGGAGTAATGGAGGATTCGATTCAATTATGGGATGAATTCTGCCGTATTCTGAGTAAATACATGAAGTGAAGATCTGGAATTTATTGTATAACTATTTCTAGCTTGAATTATCTCGTCTTTAATGCATATCCATTGACCCAACGGACAATCGGGCTCGGAGCCTCAAAGGCAGAACGCAAACAAACCGGGAAAATGGATTGCACTATTCTAATTAACCTATTTAAATTGCAACGTGAATAAGACTTGCAACCTCCTTGTGAGTATCCCGCCTCCTATGTATTAACACTAGTTTTCAGAGTTGCGAGTCAAGCGGAAATATTTAGACCTAAAATCGTTTTACATAGGAGTATGTTGGGATCTGCCTTGCTAGGGAGACCCAAAATTTTCCTTGGGCTTTAAATGACAAAAATCATGCCGTATATTTTTATTCCCCAAGGTTTTCCCCTTATTGTAATCGTTTGAGGGATAAGAAATCTTCGATACACTTTTGCACCTACAATTTCCAATCATCTTATTTTTGATTTGTTTGAGTGGTTCCAAGGAATACTTCAAAATTGTCAGGTCATTTGAGTTCTGCTTGTTGTTTACTCAAACCACTATACAGGATTAGAACAACATGCTGGTTTTTATTTAGCTAACTAAACAAAAAAATGTGTACTATTGTTTTTTGGCAAATGAGACTAATTTCTTGTAGTCCGCTGTTATTTCTTATGCTCCGTCATTCTTCCTCTCTGTCTCTGACTTCACCTGATAGTTTGCAGTCGCCACGTGAGGATGTGTTTTGCCCTTTTCCTCCGAATATTCATCATATTTTAGATTTCATATAGCCCCATAACTGCCGAAACGGTTATATTTTCCTGTCATAAGTAGTAAATCTACATCTTCGCTTGTCTTCAATGACTGCTGGAAAAGTTGGTAGACTTTGTTCCCCACAGCTCTTATTGTTTCGTGCCTGCGGACCGTGTGGTGACATTGATGATTCATAACTCTTTTTGATCATGTTTCTCTTCACTTTCCGTTCGTTTGTGATCAAGTTATCGATAATCGCACTCACGTTTGTTCGGCATGCGTGAATGATGACGGTACGGACTTATTAAATTTTCAAACTATGTACTCAAATGCTTTATGTAGGACATCGGAACGAAATCTTTTGTGTCATCGAGTTTTTTCATAACTACTTTGTTTCATTGTGGGCGGAGTAATAATAAAAATAATTTGTTACCAGATAGAACCAATGAGTTAAGTTGATAGGAAACGAGGAAGTGAGTGAGAGATATTTAGATAGAAAGAGCGGTGAACGTTATCACCGAAATCACAAAGTGACAGTGTCAAGTGACTTGAAACAGGCACACAGACATAGAAGAATACATTATCGGTTTGCCCTTCACTGATACACAGGGTTCTTGCTGGAACCGATGGTATGCTGTAGTTGAAAAACTATTTTTGTGGAGCATCTGGATAGGGGATATTGAGGTATCCAGGTGACAGACAGCTTATCGGTAAGGGAACTGGAGCAACCGAATTACTCTATGGAGTCTTGCTTTCCTCTGGTGATCGTGCCTGCACGAGTTTGGAATGAGTCCAGCGATCAGGGTTGTGAGCAACGAAAAGCAGTCGAGCATTGCCATGCACTTTTTCGAAGAACCCGGTTCACCTGCTTAGTCGTATAAGGAGTTCCACGGACTCCGTTTATAACACATTCATCCGATTTAAACAGTTTATATTAAATTAATTCAAAAATGGTTATATGGAATGAAAACTTGTGCCCCAAACATCTGAGTGGCTTCATTTTTGTGATGATATGAATAGCCTTCCAAACAAACGTAGTGGCAAGTGGTAAATGTAAACAAATTATCATGACAGAGGACGCGTGTTCGAATCCCACTACTAATACCTGACTTTTCCCATTCTGTTGTATGGAAGCCCTTTGATTGGATGATTTCTTCTTTTTGAAAATTGTATCATTGTATATTGAGTAAAACGAAGCAATAACGGAAAGAAATACAGAAATCAACTTTCATCCATTGTCACTCTTACGTTGCAACCGCGTGAAAAGCAACAATATATGAATGTCGATCACTGTGTAAAAGGTAGTGTAAGTGAATAAATGATGAAACAAATAACGCAAATATAAAATCACATACAGTTATTGTTCGTGGGAGCAAGAAGCATCATGATCGCAGGATTTGTTGAATTCAACAATTTGGTGGTAATCTCATCAGCTATTTGCATACATTCCGAGCGGGGTTGGTTGAAAGAGTGACAGGTTCAGGGACAAGTGAACACACACAGGAAAGCAAAACCAGTCAGTAGGGAGGGCAAAGGTAAAACAATTAAACCGGACTGGGTGGCTGATGAGATAACCACGAAATAGTGGAATTCAACATATCCTGGGATCATGATACTTTTTTGCCCTCATGAAGATGGTAAAGGGAATTGGTTGCATGAAAGTTATTGTTCATTAAAAAAATTAATTATCATTGAATCTAAACTAAAAAAATGATGCGTTTTGCATATTAGGAGCAAAGGTACTAATATTGTGAATGTTATGGCGTTAATAACACAACGATGTCGGTAGAGAATTATATTCGCCGACGTTTCGGTTACCGTGGGTAACCTTTCTCAAGGCAGGTTTTGCAATGAAATCAAAACCTGCCTTGAGAAAGGTTACCCACGGTAACCGAAACGTCGGCGAATATAATTCTCTACCGACATCGCTGTGTTATTAACGTCATAACATTCACAGTAAAACAACACCTGGTGCATCGATTTTTCGATACACTCCTAACATCATTTGTTCACTAAGAATGATTTGAAACCGAGTAAGAGTGAATTACACTCCAGAGACCGAGATGGAGTGGAGTGGTGAACAATGAATCCTTATGCGGAATAGGCTGTTCATATCGAATAATGTCTGTGAAGTGTTGCAGACTATTATCAAAACACCTGTTTAGTGGTTTTCCTATTGTGACCTGTTTTTTGAAGTATTAACCTCGACAACCAGTTTTATAAATAGCCGTTTCGTACTCAGCCAAACCGTTCGGTATCTAATGACGATTGCATATTTAAACCATGAACAGGGTTGTACATGAATTCGTCAACCAAACGTCACTCAGTAAATCCATTAGAGGAATTTTTTCATTATGACCAAAATGTTGAAGTAGGTTAAATTCTTGATGGATGTTTGTAGTAAGCAAAGCAACCCCCGCCAAAAAATAAAAGTATTTTTCATAAATCAGTTTTGCACTCCTTTTGTCTTCTTGAAGCACGGCAATGCATGATAATATATACAGAAGGTTTTCCCGAGTGAATACCATCATCGACTTGTTCTTGGAGAAAATTTTGCAACT